ACCTGAATTGGCGCTTGAATAAAAACTACTTCCTTCTGCTTTTGTAATAGTTTGCATGGATTTTTTCGCTTAAGATGCTCACGAAGTTTTTGAGGTGTTGAACATTCATGACCACAACGTTTACAGATTGTATCTTTTTTATCACTTCTTGTTTTTCTAACCATGGTGTTAGCTCTAACCGTCGCGCTATTACTTGCTTATATAATTTTTTCTTTAATTAATTATTATATATGTAGAGTACATATCACTTTTCGATCTCTCCTTCTCGAAGCCAGATATTTTTAGTTCACACTATATAAGATAACTATTAATCTTTTTCGAATTTATGACTGGAAGAAAAAAAGGATTGCAAAACTGAAGCATTAACTAATTATTATTAATCTTTTTCGAATTTAGTGATAAAATAGCAGGATGATCAGTGAGTATTTTTGCTCCTATCTTAAAAATTCTGGAGAGGCTTGTGGGAGAGCTTGTATTCGCCCTGAAGGATGTCGATTCCATTGGAAAGCTAAAAAACGTATCCCTTGCTCTGATTGTGGTAAACCTACCTCTTCTGCTTGTGGCCGATGCCCATTACATATCAGAGGCTATTATGTTACCCAATATTATGATAAACTTCGGACTAAGGCTTTAAACGAATCCATCAAACAGTCTCCAGACAGTTTCGAAAAAGCAGTCAGAACCCATTCTTGACTAAGAAAAAGTTGGGTCAATTTCGCGGATTTCTTCTGGATTTTTACAGGGGAGTATTAGAGTTAGATTTACATGATTAATATATTAATTTATGAGCTGCTCGAAGCTAGAAAGAGTTAGTTAACAAATTTTTCTTTTTTTTCGAATTTATAAGAATCATTAGACTTATTAATGGGGACAATTGTTTGACTTATAGGAATAATATGCTAATTAAAGATCTAGCCCACGTAGAACCCGTTCTTGACTAAGGAAAAGTTGGGACAAAAAACTCATTAGACTTATTTAATAATTCTGCTATTTAATGAGCTAGCTCGTATAGAAGCCATTCTTGTCTATAGAAAAGTTCGTTAGATTTAAAAGGTCACGTGATTCTTGATATGATACTTAACGCATAGACCCCTTTAGAAGCAATTCTTGAATAGTTAGAGATATTCATAAATAAATCTAACGAATTTTAAATCGTTAATAAATATAACTAAAAATCGATATAATTTCAAGGCTTTTGAGAGCCCCAAGAATGTATTCCTGATATATTTATAAATTGTTAGACTTATTTAAGAGGTAATAAGGACAGTTAGACTTAAATAAATCTAACCAAAAATCAATATAGTTCCTGGCCTTTGGGAGCCTCTGGAATATATTTCTGATATGGTTATAAATTTAACTAAAAATCGATATAGTTCCTGAGTTTTAAAAGCACACGCAATTCATTCTAGAGGGTTTAAAAATTGTTAGACTTAATTTATCTAACCAAAAAATCAATATAGTTTCTAGGCTTTAGAAGCCTCCAGGATTTTTTCCTGATATATAAAAATATCGAAATAGTTTTTGGGCTTTAGAAGCCTCCAGAATATGATTCAATCAATATAGTTCTTGGGCTTTAGAACCCTCTAGGATTTATTCCTGATATATAAAAATATCGATATAGTTTTTGGGTTTTAGAAGCCTCCAGAATATAATCCTGATATACTAAAAGTCTAACTGTCCCAAAACCCCCAGAATGACATTGTGTCAAGTAATCTATTCTTTGATATAGTTGTTTTATTAAATGTTTCAGCAGCGTTAATAATAACACTTGAATTGGTAGTGCTTGAATTAGCACTTAAATTGGTACTTGAATTGGTGTCTAAATTGGCACTTGAATTGGTAATTGAAGAATCTAAAACTGATAATACAGAGACAGAATTATTTAGAATAATTAATTCACTATTATAATTGTTATTTTCAAAAATGTTCATCTCATTATCATAAACTCTATGATCATAAATCCTATTTTCATTATCATCTATTTCATTTATATATATAGATTAGTTGTTGACTAATAAATGTTATCTAAAAAAAATAAAGCATCTGTATTATGATAATTTGAAAAGAAAAATTATAAATTATAAATTACAATATTTATAAAACAAACTTATAATAAATTTTAATATTTTTAGAGTATTAATTGTACAAAGTGTATCAGTTATGCTTTTCTTCCTGTTTATTAAAGATATTATCAATAAAGTTAAAGTAAAATTTATAAAAAAGTTTTTAAACATATAAAAAAAAGAAATATTAATATACAGTACATACTATAATTATGCAAAAATTATTTACCTAATTTAGTAAACTTACAAAAAGTTCATTGATAAATTCTTTTAAAGTATTGTTTTTGCAAGGCCACTGACTAATACTCTTTCTCCTTCTGATTAAAGATTATTACTACAAAAAACTATTGCACTTAAAGGGTATTATAAAGTTTAAAAAAAAAAAAGCTTATATAAATTTTGAAGTTACAAAAAATTATTTATCTAATATAACAAACTTACAGTAAAGTTCAGTATTTGACTCTTTCAAAGTATCGTTTCTGCAAGTGAACCGGCTAGTACTTTTTCTTCTTTTAATTAAAGATATTATAGTACTTAAGCAAAAAAAATGCTATATATATAGTTTAAAAAAAAATGATTATTGATCAATACAAGTTTTGATTGGTGGATAGTTATATGCACATATAATGGGCTACTCTACAAGTATATAAGCCAGGTAGTGTTGGTATTCAAGCCCTACCTATATAATATAAAGGCTTGCGATTTTAAGCCCTACTCTACTCTAGGGCTTGTAATTTGATGCTCAAGCTCAGCTCTATTGATACTACCCTTAAGGTAATCATGAGTAGCTCTGGCTCATGTGGAGGTCTAGATATGTGCATACTATATTTGCAAAAACTCTAATTTCTATAAGTGATTTATATTATGTTTTACTCTAATTACTCTCTGGTTAACTTGTAAATTACTAATTAATAAATTATGATAATATACTAAGTCTATGAAGTACTTTTTGAAGTAGTAATAAGTATATAGTATTATAAGCTTTAGTAACAATATCTAAAGTTCTTTTTTGTTTGTATATATGTCCTTACAAAGGTGTGTAATATGTTGAATAGGTTGTAGTATTGATATTAGTAGAAGTGCTATGTTGTTTGCCAGATTAAAAAAGTTGTTTTATAGAAGAATTAAGTTAAGTTATATGATAAGTATTTTTATAAAAATTTTTTGAATATGTTCAATAAGTATAATAGAACAAGTTTTTAAAAGATCTCCTAGATAATAACTATTTGTTAATATAGGCCAGATAAGATCTTTATGCCAAGCAGAGAAGATAGTTTGAAGATATATATATATATTAAAAATTTTTGTAAGTATAGAAATTGCTATAAAGAGAAGTTTTTTTAACATCTTATTTTTAGTAATATTAAAACATACTAGTAATAATAGATAAAAGATTAATTGTAATACCGGTAGTTAACAATAGTAACAAAAAAAAACTCTATTAAAAGCATTTACTCTAAAATCTGCTTACCCATATTGTCGCGAATTAACGCGCAGGGGTGTGATTTCAAAATTGGCCTAAATTAAATATTATTACGTATTTGCGCGTAATAACGATCCCCTGCGTTATTTTGAAGCGCGCATACACCTTATTTTGAGCAAGAAAACGATATTTCTTTTTGGTGCTATTATAATAACTAAATTAGCAGCGAGTTTAAATTCCAACAATTAGAAAATACATTTTGTGTCTCATCGGAGGTGTTACAAATGAAAAAGCCTATGGATATTCTCCCTTCCGCTTTCGTGATACACCTACTAACAGTACAGAATTTGAAAGCATCAAATGGACAACCTACGCATGATTGCTACTGTTCACCATGAGTGTTTTTACGACAACAACTGACGGTAGGGTGAAAAAAACCAGAATTTGTCTGGAAAAAACCACAATGCAAACTAAAGGCTAGTGTTATGTACTCAAATACGAGAAAATTCCTTCGTGATTGTCGTCCTGACAGCCATCAAATCATAGCTTCTAGCAAAATGCGAAATCAATTGCTAGGGTGGAACGAAAAACCCGGCAAAGTCGGATTAGCAGAAAAAACATAATTTTATCTGAGAAACCCTTAAATACTACTAACGTTACTAATCGCAAATACTTGTCACAAAATCACATACGAAATCATACGATAAATCAAAATTACGACAATACACCTATGTAGATTCGAAACGGGCTAATTGAGTTACACAAAAGGTGGGTGCACGTTATTTCAAGACGCGTATGTGCAATATTTTGTGTAATTTAACTAATTTTTTGAGAAAGCAAAATTCAAATTAACGCCCGGCCCGCCATTACGCGCAAATACGATATGACAAATTGTTAATTTTTTCATATTAATCTAAAAAAAAAAATTGTTATAAAAATTGCAATGCACGATACGATTATAATATCAATGTTTTACCAGATCCATTAAATACAATCATAAGAACTGCAAAAGATCATTATTGGTCAAAAAAACATTGGTTTACGAAATCTTGAAACATGAATGAGTCTCGTCATCAAATTGGATGTAATTCGGGTGTTAAAACTACATATAATGTAATTGAAATTCTGAACGATTTTCTGAAAGCTTCACAGGCGGAATCACAAAGGTACTGCAACTAGGTTAATTGCTTGTGGAAATAACTGTCATGCCACAACCTTGCTTACAATAACTAGATGTATAAACAATATATTATGATTTTAATAAAATTGAATATTTCTACCGTAAATAATTTGAATTCTTTATCAATTTGAATGAATTTAAAATTTCATTTCAACTTAGGCGCATTAGAATCTATTTAAAATAAATTAAAAATTTAGCGAGGTTGTACGTATGCTGATATTAGATCTGTTGTAACATGAATTTATTTATTTTTATTTTTACTTTTATTATTCATATAAAATAACATAAATATATAATAATTATATATAATGATTTTAAATTTTATAATCATTTATTATAATTTAGATTTAGGATTATCTATAGGTTCAATTTCATTTACACTTTCTGCATATAATTTATCGATAATACTACGAAAATGTTTCTGAGCTTCATGACGTTTAAGTTTCAACCTAAAATTTAAATTAAACGTTTAATTATAAAAAAAATAGAATTGTAAAAGAAAAGCATAAAAAATACTCACGTTGGAGTCAAAATGTGGTTCTCAACCGAGAATGGGACACTCGAGAGATAAATTGCTTTAACTGTTTCAAAACTATATAATGCAGGAAAACAAATATAAGTTTGTAAAACAAAGATTAAAACGTATATAATTCACAGGACGAATTTTAAAATTTCTATAACGTTTCTGAGATATCGGCAGAATAGTCTGATAGCTAACCAACTTTTGGCGCCTATTGGATATCCGATATACTTATCGGAACCGATATCCTTCTGATAGGTGAAAATACGTGTCAAAAATCGGTTAGCTATCAGACATATCGACGTTTGATATCTCTCAGAAATGTTTATAGAAATTTTAAAATTCGTTCTGTGAAAATTAAACCGTATATAAATATGTATATACTAACCCTTTAAGTTTTGTTTGCTTTGCAACTTCATTCATATGCTCCAAAAAAGCCTTTTTCACATTTTTATCATTAACAAGAATTTCTAATCCTTTTTCATCACCCAAAGAAACATTTTGTTTGATCAATGCATTTGCCCACGGTACAAAAGTTTCTGGATCTGGCACAACAATGGCAACAAGATAATTACGAAGAGAATCGCCATGAACGAATATTTGAAGTATTAAATTGGAATTCACATATGCATTTTCGATCTATTTATTTGTTAATTTAATATTATTGAGCAAAAAGATATATTCGATTCTATTTAATCACGTTAATAAGCTTACTTTTTCTGGGGCAACGTATTCTCCGTGAGATAACTTGAATATATTTTTCTTTCGATCAATTATACAAAATGCACCTATTAAAATATAAAGTCATAATTGTTATTATCATAATAGTTTGTACGGATTGAAAATAAAATTTAGTAAAAAAAAAAAAAAAAAGTAACTACCTCTTGCATTAATATATGCAATATCACCACTATGAAGCCATCCATCCTTATCAATTGTTTCTTTTGTTTTAGCATCGTCTTTATAATACCCACGAAAAACACTTGGACCGCGATAACAAAGCTCACCACGAGGAAAAGGTTTATCGGTCGAAAAATAATTCATCTCAGGTACATCTACAAGTTTTATTTCATTACTAAAAGCAACATAAATATTAATGAATTTAATAAACACACCAATAAGCAAACGATATGAGACAATTACCATGGAATAGGACCGCCCACATGTCCGGCAGCATTCTCATCCTTTAAGGTCATTGTCGCAGCACAGATACCTTCAGTCTGTCCATAACCTGAACCACATTTAGATTTAGAAAAAATGAAACAAATAAAATAAAATAAAATAAAAGAACCATAGATAACCATAAATGCAATAGAATGACATCGCACTAACCCTCAGTTATATCACAAGCAAAAGCAATCCTCAAGAATTGTAATACTTCAGGACCTATAGGTGCAGACCCCGTAAGAATTAATCTCACGCGTCCTCCTATAACTTGTTTTATCTTGCTGAATATAAGTTTATCCCATAAAGTATGAGTAAAGCCCTTTCCATCCTCTAAATTCTTAAGCTTTGCAGAAACAGCCATACGTGATAATGCGCCTTTAATTCCAGGAGCAAACACAGTGTTTTGTTGAAGTTTAGCATGTACACGCGTAAGCAAACGCGGAACAGAAGGAAAAATGGTAGGCTTAAGTTCAGTCATATCATCAATAAGATTGAGCACATTTCCACGAAAGTAGCCGATACTAGCACCGGCAGAAACCACCAATACTTCAATCATTCGTTCTAATACGTGAGCAAGCTTAATATTAAGGTAAAATAAATAATATTTAAATAATAGAAACATTTTATATAATAATAATAACATTAATATTAATAGTAATAATTTACCGGTAAATAAGAAATAAGAACCTGAGAAAGAAATATAAAAAATAAATGGAACGTAGGGCGTAAATAAAAGTCAATGCTATATAATAACACTAATACAAAAATACATACGTCATCTTGTCTTGCAGCCCAACACAAATTGAAGCCATTTTTCGCACCAATGAAATTTGTATGTGTGAGCAAAGCACCCTTTGGAACACCAGTTGTACCTGAAGTATAACAAATACAAGCAATATCATCCGGAGAAGGGGGATTATGGATATGAGGATATTGTTGACCTAATCTTTCAACCTCGATAAAGTCCAATAATAAAATGCCCTGATCACGTGCCCATGCTTTTAAAACTTTTCCGGTGGTAATTGCATCAGGAGCGGGGTCATTGTCATCAAGATCATCCATTGAAATAATTACTTTCATTTTGGGCATCTTTGATGCATTCTGAATAAGCCCAGGGATGCGATTAGCACCAGCGACCACAATTGGAATTTCAGCATGATTTATGATATATTCAACGGCCTCTGATAAACCAATTTATAATTAATTAAATAATAATAATTGAAAATAAAGAAAAGAAGTTACTTACGAGGGCCAAAAGTATCATATATCGCAACGGTGATAAGATTATATGCTACATTCGCCTAAATTTTTTTTTAATATATATATATATTAGGAGATTTTTCCTCATTTGACACGTTAAACATGATAAAATAATAATTGTATATACCTGATCAGTAATGAACCACTCTTGATAATTAAAGAATATTTACTAGATTTTAGTTTGTTTTTTTTTTTTGCACGAATAGTACAAATATTTCAAAAAATGAAAATTATTATATTCTTACCAGGCCTATTATTTGAATAAATTCCAACAGACCATTGTTTCGATTTAGGATTATTTACAACCTAGAAATTAAAAAAAAACCGAATTTATTCATCTATGTTAAATTTATTTATTTAAACAATCAAACATACGGTATTGCTCAAATGCATAAGCCCGGAACCAAAGCTGTTAACGCGCTCGTTGACTTGTTTGTAAGTTTGCCAAACAAAACCTTCATATCGTTTAGTTATCTTATTATAAGGTCTGTGTGCGATACAATTTCGGTCCTTTGATATTTTAAGTGCTATAATAACAACCAGAAATAGCAGTCAGCGAAAAAGAAAGACTGATTTTCGAAATTTTTTTTTTTTTTTATTAATCCTACCGTATTGAAAATTGTCATAGAGAGTTTTGACTTCAGGACTGCAAAAAAGTATTCGTTCAAGTCAATAACAATTTGTATACAAATCTTCATGCTACAACAAATTGGTAGAACATTATAAACCTTGTCGAGAAAGTCAGAGTCTCTGGGTAAAGCGAATTACGATAAATCCCAGTTTGTCCTGGCCTTCTTGTATTGGGCAGCTCAACTGAATATATTGGTGGCTCCATCATTTATTAGTTTTGATAATTGTCTAATTGTCTTTTGTGGAAAGCAATCTTTATATAGCTTTAGTGTTGCATACAATAAATCACCATTAACATAACCGAAGCGTGAACAATATTTCATCGGATCGGGCATTCGAATATGGTGTTATTCACCGAATATCGCTATGTCGAGTTTGGGACCAATTAAATTTCAGAATCTCATGTAGTTTCCGATCCCTAGAATAAAGGGTGCTATCACTATGCATTTTTACTTAACGTTAAGTTCGCAAAAAAATCAAATCGAATTCGGATTTGATCATCTATGAAGGTACCCAAGATTATCATGCCCATGATCTTATTTGTTTATTCTACGAGATTATCACGAGTTACAGTATCAGGTATGTATCAGCGTACGTATATTACGTACGTACGTACTTGGATTTTTAATTGGCAAAAAGAACCAAGAATCAAATCATATTATAAGCGATCCCGCTATTAATTGACACGGTTAAACTATTCCTCATCACGTACGTACGTACGTACTTTCTGTAAGAAGTATAAAATAAATCATCTATCTAATTTTGTGCTCATTCTCCACTCTTAAGATCATCTTGTAACACTAAATAACAAGCAGATACGCATGTTAAATCAATGATAAAATTTGCACTAAGGCCGTTTAAAGTTAATTATTAGTTTAACGTCATCCCCCCTGCTTTGCCCGATTTACTTATTTTCGTGAGTAATACAAACCAAAAAAGGAAATTCAATTTTGTAAACTAAGTGCGTAAAAATAGAAGTTAGGATTAGTGTTTAAAATTCAAATTTAAAATTATGTTCTCAAATGAACTTAATTTAAATTACTAATATTCTCAAAAATTTTTTAATGTTCATTATAGAGAACATTAATTTATTAATATTGCTTATAATTTTATTAAAATGTTTTCAAATATATAATATTATTTATAGTATATTTACAAAAAGATATAATTTTAATAATTTTTTTATATTTAAAAATATTAATTGGGCAAGCTAATAACAGGCTTTTGTTGATCTTGCAGATCAGTTCTAGGAAGTTAGAACCCTGTGGGGGAGAGAACATGTTGTTGCAGCAGATCACATTTGGGCACCTTTAAGGTAGCTAAGTAAGTTTTTATTATATATAGAAAAAAAGAGTTGAGAGCAATAGTTTAAAACCTTTGTATAATGTTATATATATTCTTTGATTAATAAAAGCAGGATTGTCAAAAAAAAATATATATATATTAATTGGTTTCTTGAAATCAAGTTTTAATGCACTCATAACAAAGACAAAACAGGCCCAGTTATGATGAATTTCTGTTATATTGTATCAAGAAAGGCCAATACAAACAAGCAGAATGATAAAAGAGTAGGTGCAAGCCAAACTAAACAATGAAAGAGAAGACTCAATGATCATGAAAGTAATATGATCCTAGCAAAAGTAGACCTAGAAGAAAGAAAAGATATTCTATCAGATTGCAAAGTAGGGATCCTTGATTTCAGAGTAAAGGAAACATTGAAGAAACAAGCCAAAAACAAGAACCATCTAAAGGGAAGAAGAAACAATAAAAGATACAAGAGACAAAAAGATATCTACAACTCAATATGGGTGCCAAGAGAAAGGCACATGTCGCACAACAATACTGATACAATACAGCATTATTATACTATATGAGACCTCCTTAAATACGTAGATACAAGAAATAAAGAAGGATATATGAGAAGCTATGACAAAGTAAAGGTTATAGCATGGAAAGGAAACCAGTATGTAAAAGCTGTATATACTGTATTAATATTTCAGAAGAAGGTGAGAAGAAATAGAGTCAACATCTACAAGGAGCCTAGTCAGTAACGCTAGACTTGAAAAAAACATATAAAATTACTCCAGAAAAATTTGACAAAGATATATTAAAAAAAAGAAATAGGTTCAGATGTAATATTAGCAATATCCCATCAACTATGCTAAAAAGTCTGCTTCTTTGGCAATTGAAATATTACAAAGCACAAGTAGTGCATATTCAGGGAAACAGTAATAGCAACCAAAGTAGAAATGTATATGTATATTTCAAGACAAAAGAGGATATAATTAAAGTATAAAGATCAAACCCACAATATTTGAACCAGAGACTAGAATAGAGAGTAGTATCAAAAGAGGAAAAAAAGGAACCTGTCGAAGAAAGTGAGGTGACCAAGAAAGAAATGGAGAATCAACAACCCAAAGAAGAAGAGCAACTCTAGGGAGAAGTAGCTAAAAATGATCAGAGATTTGAAATTAAAAAAAAATGAGGCAGTTGTATAACAATAACAAAAAGACTTACAAGACACAATATGAAGAGAAAATCAGTACAAAAAAGAGGTAGAGGAGTAGACTTGCAAGAAAAAAGAGAAGACAGAAAACTCTGAAACAGAATGAGACAGGAAAAAGCAGAGTGTGACAAAGAGAATAAACCTATACAACCTCTAAGTAAAACAGAACCTAAAATAATAAAGAAATCAAAAAATGGTGACCCGATTATAGAGATGTTAACACAAATAATAAGTAGGCTAGATAGACTTAAGATCCAGAACAGAAACACAGATATAGCACTAGCAGGAGTAGACCCTGCATACTGCTTCTAAAAGGTACCAAAGACATTTCGACAGGAAAAACTGTGAAAAAAAAAGGGAGTTATAAGAAGACACCCCCACTAATCAACTTCTAGCAGAAATAAGGGTATACAAAGAATCAGGAAACCAAAAGAGAGGTTATAAGTAGCATAAGTTTGTAAATATAGAGTTTTACAACATAAATGGTATAAAAGGTAACAAGAATAAGTTGAAGACAATTATAAATTATGCAAAAGAAAAGGATATTGATATACTAGGTATAGTAGAAACAAATATAGAAGAAATAGATAGTATTTTTGCAACCAAAGATATAAAAAGCTACAAAAGCTTCTGGGCTAGCTTTGAAGAAAACAAGAAAAAGGAGTCAGGTATTAGCGTGTTAATTAGAAGATACTAAGAACAATATATTACTAGCCTGACTAGAGACAACCCATACTATATAAAGCTAACATTAGACTTTAAACATATAACAATAATAATAATCCTTTTATATGTACTCCCGAGCAATAAAGAGAGGCAAGAAGAACTACTCAAGATAGTTAAAGACACATTGGAAAAAACGAACAAAAAGCTTCAACAGTTTATTATAATAGGAACCTAAATATAAATGCTTTGAGTATAGCAAAGGCAGGAGAAAAAAACCTGGTTACAAAATACCAAACAAAAAAGAAAATAATCACCCTGCTTTAAGAAAAAAACTTATATAATGTCTATAAAACAGCACAGGCACCCACATAGTTAGGCAGGAGCTGTGAATCAAAAATTAACTACATGTGGGTATCAAATTGCTAAAGATACAACATTGCTAAGACTAAAGTAAATGATATAGACATATATACTGTACAATGAGTAATCACAAGATGTTGCAAGTGTGCATAGTCACAGAGTTGAGTACAAAAGAGACAAAAGCTGCCACAATAAGACATGCTAAATGGGCAAAGGTCTACGTAGAAATCAAAAAAGCAACAAAAGAAGACTGATGCAAGTATAAAGAAAATATAGACAAAAGACTTAAGCACCACTAGTATAAACAAAAGCCAATAAATATAGATGAGGAATAGGATATAATAGAAAACTGCATCATAGTAGCAGCCAATAAGAGCCTACCAAGAAAAAGAAAAACATCCAAACTACAACAAATAAGTAGAAAAAACAAGGAAGTGTGGCTACTATACTTTACAGTAAAAGCATGTAATAAAGGCTTTTGGAAAATCAAAAAGTAGTTATTGCTAGATAAAGAAATCGCCAAAATTACAACAGCCCTAGTTAAGGCAGAAGCTTTTTTTGACCCTAATCTAAAAACAGAACATGTTCTGATAAGCAGTGAAGGTCTAAAGAACTAGGCAAAGATTTTGTACAAGGAATGGAGACAAAAGATCAGAAGCCTAGAAAAAAAAAAATGCAGAAAAAAATAAAAGAAAGATATAGCATAATTGTAAAAAATCAATGGAAAATATTAGACAGTCTGTTAAATAGACCTTATAGGCAAATTAAAATTGACAGAATTGTAAAAGAAACAGAAAAAGAAACTAAGCTAATATACAAGCCAAGCAAGGTGCTAAAAGAAGTTAAAGAGCACTTCGAGAAACAATTTTAGAAGAGAAATACAACACAGCTAGAAAAGTTAGTACTGAGATAAAGAAATCAATATGTGCTGATAGAAAAGATCAAAGAAGTATAATACAAAGATTTTACAAAAGATATTAGCTCAGAAGATTGGAACCAGGCATTAAGCCAAACAAAAAATAAATTAGCTTCTGGGATAACCAGCATTACATACCTACTAATTAGAAAAGTCAACAAATACACAAAAGAAATTTTTTTGAAACTTGTATCTAGATGTATTAAAGAAGAGTGAATGCCTAAGAAGTAGAAATTAGGAACACTCTACCCAATACCAAAGACAGAAGACTGGTGCTACAACCTGAATAATGTACAACCTATACTCCTGCTTGAGACATTCAGAAAAACTGTAGTCAGGGTTTTCATGGATAGGTTGGCAAAGGTTCTATATGAAAAAGAAATTTTAAAAGGAAGAAACTTTGCAGGACTTCCAGGTACAGGTATAGCAGCACCAGTACATTTGATAAACTGTCTCATAGAAGAGGCAAAGAAAAAGAAAAAAGAGTTGTGGTTTCTCTTCCAAGATATGAAAAAAGCCTTCAACTCAGTAGGATTGAAAATGCTAAAGTTAGCCTTACAAAGAATTAAAATCCCAGAAAAGACAATGAGCTTTATATTAAATCTTTACCAAGATCAAGAAATAGAAGTTAGAATGAGCCTGGGTACAACAGAGAGATTTATAGCAGGAGATGGAATAGATCAAGGAGAGATAATCTTATCTATGATATGGAAAATTTTCTACGACTCTTTACTGGCAGAAATTCAAGAAAGAGGAA